AGTGGATTTAAATAAATCCTTCCATTTCAAAAAACAAACTAGAGGGTTCTGAACAAAAGACCGTATGTGAAAGCCTCCCTAAACGTTCAGGGGCCACCCCAAGAGCTCGTGTAAACAAGGTCATATGTGAGCTGTAGGTAGCTTTATCTTCAGTGTGCTGAGGAAATACTGGACTTACTCAACTACATTAATTTGTTGTATATAGTTTTTTTTTTTTTTAAATTTTTTTTTTGAGACAGCGTCTCCCTATATAGTTCAAGCTGGCCTTGAGCTCACTTTGTAGCCCAGGCTGGTCTCAAACTTGCAACGAACCTCCTGCCTCAGCCTCCCGAGGGCTGGGATTACAGGTATGTGCCACCACGCCTGGCTTAATTGTTTTTTTTGGAGACAGGGTCTCACTATGTGGTACAGACTGGCCTTGAATTCACAGCGATCCTCCTGCCTCAGCATCCCGAGTGCTAGGATTACAGGCATACACTATGAATGGCTATTGTATAGTTTTAAGTACTTACATAGAACATTTAGAACTCTTCAAAAATCTCAATGTTATGAAATTCCCACTAAAAAAATTGAGCTGTTATGTCTGGCCAGTTTCCTGAGCTTGGCTCCTGTCACGGGCAGGCTGGCTCTAAGTGAAGCTGGAAACGTGTGTCCCTGGGGACACCCTCTTATGCACCCGGATCACTGACTCCAGCCAGTCTGTTGGGGGTCACCCTGTAGAATGTGGAGCGTGGATGTGCGGAGTTGAGGACACGCTGTCCTGTGCTGGTTCTTTCTGCTCAGCCCTGGGACAGCGCCCCCTGTTGCTTTACACCAGCTCTGCTCCACTCTGTAGATGGACAGTTTAACTCATGTTTAAGGAAAAAATTTCATTACATTTCATAATAAACCCATCTTCCTCACACAGAGTGCATGACTATGTTCTTTTTGTTTGGGGATTTTTTTTTTTGTCTTTTTGAGACAGGGTCTCACTGTGCAGTTCAGGCTGGCCTTGAGCTCACTTTGTAGCCCAGGCTGGCCTCAAACTCACAGCGATCCTCCTGCCTCAGCCTCTCCAGTGCTGGGCTTACAGGCGCACACCACCACGCCTGGCTTCATGACTATGTTCTGTTCCTCAAGCTGATTTTTAAAAATGGATAGGATTAAAGACAAGATGCAAATTAGTTTCCATTTTTATTAAAGCTGTGTATTTCTAAGGAATGTATTACACTTGGAGTTCAATACCATAAATAAGGAATAATTCTCAAATCTTCTATTTGACTTATTAAAAATGTAAACATAAAATAATTCACTGCTCCCTCCCTGACCCTATTATGTATATGTATCTAGAAACTTCCTGTTGGGTGAGACCTCTCTTCGCAATGAGAAGCAGCTTCCCTGAAAACTTAGTCCACTGGGCTGCGAGGTCATGGCAGGAGTGACAGATGCCGCTGACAGACCGGCTGTGACCCTCCTCCTCCTCCTGAGCTACGCAGCCGCCCTGGGAGTTGGGCTCTTCTCTGTCCCTTTGGTGACCAAGGAGCACAGGACGCTGTGATGAGAGCCACATGCAAGCAGGCAGGGTCTGGGAGCTGTCGGGTGGGGGTCAGGCACGGACATCAGAGCCGGGAGGGTTCCCGGGGTCCCCTCGCTGTGTCTCGGGTGATCAGGGAACAGAACAGCGGTAACGCTGGGAATGCTTTCTATGCCTACTGATGCCTAAAGACCGAACCCTCAGAAAACTGTTCCCACCTCCAATAGTGACAAACTCCAAGGCAACACACGAGGGAAACCAAGGTTAAGCAGGGCTTACATATAACATTTTTACAGTGTCTGCTTCGTCTTCACAAGGAGTAAGCATCCTATGGAAAAATGTACGGGTTACGATTTTAGAAATAAGCCAGGAAAAAGGCCGCTTTCCCGGAGCAAAGCAGGATTTACACGAAGCCCGCCCGACTGCTCACCAGCCCCAGGCCGTGACCTGTCTTTGGCTTCTTCCTGTGAATCCTGTTCTGGAAAACCTGTGACAAACTCACCGGATACTTCTGATAACTGAGACCTTAAAACAATCCAAATGAACCTAAGCTGGAACTGAAAACCGAGGTAGTCTGTACCAGCACCAGCAGTCTCCTTCCCCAGGTCAGCCAATCACCTTTCTTCCCTGTCCGCGTCCCTTCCACACACTGCAGCCCGCGTGCTCTCGCGCAGGGAACTGGGCCGGTCTCTGCTGACACGGAAGGCTGGCCTGACAGAGCACTGATGCCGGGGCACTTCAGATTCTTCATTCACAACTGAATTTTACACCAATAATTCTACACTGAAATCTCAGATTTTATTAAAATTTTTTTTGTTTGTTTGAGAGAAGGTTACTGTGTAGTTCAGGCTGGCCTTAAACTTACTGTGTAGCCCAGGCTGCATGAGAACTCACAGTGGATCCTCCTGCCTCAGCCTCCTGAGCGTTGCGGTTACAAGCGTGTGCCACCATGCCTGGTTTGAAATCTCAGATTAGAAGCCTCTGCTTCATTTTCGTATTCTAAGTGACTCAGACGTGCCTCTTACTGTTTGTTACCACTCAGCATCTTGCTGGGCGCACGGTACAAAATCCCACGCAGCCTCACCCGAGCCTTACTAACAGGAGACAGGCGCTGCTGCGGTGAGGGCTTTGGGAGCTCCTGGGTCCTTGAAATCGAGTTTCACGTGCAGAGAGAACTCTGGGCCGCCAGATCCCAACCTTAATAAATATATGTACAAAAAAAGTCGTCTATAGTATTTTCTCCAAAGTCATTAGTGCAAATATATCAATAAAAAATAAAGCAAAAATATATTTCAAGTATAAAAAGCACCATGCTTGGAAACACTACCTCAGAGGTGTCACCGCACTGCAGCCACAGCACAGCCGGGCCTGTTGCGGCCCGTCTCCACGCCGTAGGAACCCAGGCCATTTTGGGTGCGTTCTTAAATGCAACTTTGGGAGATGATTTGTGATTGTTAACAGGCATGGAAGCTGAGATTACGTTTCTTCAAAACTCTGCCTTCATTCTCTGAACTTGCACAATTTAAAGTCCGCACTGCGCAGGCAAAACCTGAGCACCAGCCTGGGGATCGCTGCCACCCTGCAGCCCGGTGATTACAGAGCCGGCGCCTCGCCAGACGCTCACTTCTGCCTGGTACCGCACGCAACACATTTTAGATGTATGCTTTTTTTTTGAGACAGGGTTCTGCTCTATAACTCAGGCTGACCTTGAACTCACTATATAGTCTAGGCTGGCCTTGAACTAGCAATAATCCTCCTGCCTCAGCCTTCCAGAGTGCTGGGATTACAGGTGTATGCAACCACACCTGGTCTAAATGTATGCATTTTTAAAAATGACTTTATTTTATGCTGGGGCTGCTATCTGGCTCTAATGTCATGTAGCCAGTTGGAATTACGCCCTAGCAAGAAATATGCTGCTTTGCTCGCTTAGCACATTTTTTTTTTCTTTTAGCAATACTGTGGATTGAATCCATAGCCTCACCTATGGCAAGCATGCGCTATACCACTGAGCTACATCCTCAGTCTCCCACCTACTACTTTGTAATTCTTTTTGAGACAGAGTCTTGCTAAATTCCCCATATTGGTCTTGAACTTGTGATCCTCCTGCCTCAGCCTCCCAAGTAACTGGGATTATAGGACTAAACCACCACTCCTGGGTAATAACTTAACTGGAGTACTTCAGAGCTACATGCTGAGTGGGTTGTTTATAATGCCACAGAGATTCACTAGCTTTTGTGGGGGAAAAGAGAGCAGCACCCATCATTAAAGACATTCAGAATAGCCAAGTGTGATGGCATGTGCCTGTAATCCTAGCACTCTTGGTCGCTGAGGCAGGAGGATTGCAAGCTCAAGCCCAACCTGGGTAAATGAGCAACTTAGTGAGACTATCTCACAATAGAAAATGTGAAAAGGGCTGAGGATGTAACTCAGTGAGAAAGCCCTGGGTTCAGTCTTCAGTACCACCACCACCACAATCAGCATCATCATCACTGTCATCATCGGAGTAAAATGATTAAATGGGGCAGGTGAGCTCTGGTACCGCAAGGGAACTGCCTCGCCGAGTCTGCGTGGTAAGTGCAGAGCCGAACATAGGAGGGAACAGACACGGAGTGAAGGCGATCTTCCAGCTTCTGTGGCCTGAGCCCTGGGTAAGGCGGTGAGTGGACCCTACAGGGTGGGGCCTACACAAGGCCTACACTTGGCCATTAGTAAACACCTCACATCATCTTGTTTGACCCGGTTTCCTTATCTGTAAAAGAATTTTCAGTTATTAGAAGTCCTTCTGTAATAATTTCTTAGCCCACCTGAAAACAATTCCGCGTCTGTCTATACCAGGGCTTCTTTTCATCTACACTGGACAAAATGGAATACAGTAGTTCTGTTTGCATTGGATTCCAGCTGTCACAGCTATTATTTGAAAAAATAACATTTTCTTGTTTGCACATCTTCCACTTTCTCAGGGCAGCATATTTCACGCTCTCTGCTTCCGGGGGTTTCCCAGTCACCGTTAAACTAATGGCGACGGCAGGTGGATGCTGAGCTCTGCGGGTGGTGAGGATGGAGGCTACGCACACAGCAGCGCCGCAGGCAGAAAAGGCAGGCCTGGTTGATGCGCAGGATTTGGCAAGAGCGAGCGGAAAACTTTGAACAACATGATGGGAACAATGATTTAGGTGTACCTCATACACCACTGCATTTAAAATAGGTGTAACAGTGTTGCAGAAATCCCAATTGAATTATTTTCTGTAAATCTAATTTATACTTCTGAGGACAAGTTGCACAAGTTATAATTTTGTTTTGTTCTGTTTTGTTTTGTTTTGTTTGAGACAGGGTCTTGCTAGATAGTTCAGGCTGGCCTCAAACTCACCTCAGCCTCCCGAATGCTGGGATTACAAGTGTGCACCACCACACCTGGCTTGTTTTGTTTGTCGAGTCAGGATCTAGCTGTGTAGTTCAGGCTGACCTTGAACTCACTATGGAGCCCAGGCTGGTCCTCAACTTGAGGTGATCCTCCTGCCTCAGCCTCCCGAGTGCTAGGATCACAGGTATGCACCAGCATACCTACCTCAGAGATTATAATCTTGCAAGAATTAGGTGCCATCCATGTTCTGTAGTGTCAATGACGAGCTTTCCCATCATTTCAGGTTAGGAGAGAAGCTGAGGTATGTGAGTACTCTGAAAATCCCACCGATGTCCCGCTTTTGCAGTACAGCAGGGAGACTGCACGTCCTGAAAACGGAGTAACTCGGTGACGGTTTCCTTCTCCTCCTCCGAGTGCTGAGGCTCAGCGGCCGGTCAGTGACTGCCGTGCAGCTCTGCTCCAGTGTCTGATTCTGGCTGCCGTCATCTGCACGGCTGGCACTCGCCCAGGTGTGTGCTCTGTCCACAGCAGTGCGACACGCCGGGGGTCCTCCCTTCCTAGTGCCACACGCACAGCAGGACTCCAGCCAGCACAGGAAGCAGGTTGCCCAGCAGCAGCCAGAGGGTGGCCACCAAGCTGGAGGAGCGGGAGCAGAGATCTAGGGTGGGAAAGAGCGGGGTGACTATTGGCAGATGCTTCCGTGATGAAATCACAGCAGCCGCACACGGACAGGTGAGGAGCGGGGACAGAGTCCGATAAAGAGATGCTTCAAGGCCCTGAGTTCAATCCCCGTACCAACAAAAAAAACCAGGGTGACTCACTGAGACCAGGACACAAAAAGGTTTTGTGTATTATGGAAACAAGATACACAGAGGAAGAGAAGATGTACCCTCCGTGTCAAGGTTCCAAAACAGCACCCGTGAAAAGACAGACGTGTCTTAGGGTGGAATCCAGCGAGGCTGCAGCGACACAGAGACGCAGATCCTGACGAGGGAGGGGGCGCTCTCTGCTTTTACCCCGCTTGCCCCTGGCATGTGGAGTAACCACGTAACTTATCTCCAAACCAGCGCATTTTGAGATCACAAAGAAGCAATATTCATAATTACACTTGCACAAGAGGCATGAGGACCATTTCAACAAACCAGGACATGTGGTTCCTTTTTGCTAAATACACACTGGCTTGATGTGGTGGTACACACTTACAATCCTAGCCCTTAGCAGGCTGAGGCAGGAGGATCGTCGTGAGTCTGAGGCCAGGCTGGCTACACAGCAAGACCCCGTCTCAAAAAACCCAAATAAATAAATATTCATCATCAATGATTTTGATCAAAGTTTGATTTGGAAAACACTGGAAGGTTCCATGGGCTTTGGGCACAAGGAAGGTATTTTAATTTAGCCATGAGATGTTTTCATTTCCCTTAAAAAATTCTCATGGAAATACTTTTTTTGAAGACAAGATCTGGCTATATAGTCCAGGATGGCCTTGAACTCACAGTGATCCTCCTGCTTCAGGCTGCGATTACAAATATGCGCCACCATACCCAGCTGGAAATACTTTTATAGCAATGAGTAAAGGCCAACTTGGCCTTATAGGTGAGTTGTCCCTTTTAATATGTGAACGGTGAAGATCCTAGGTGGAGAATTTCAAGTTGTCACCAGCACATCCATAATTCAAGTGGGGATAAAGGAAGCTGAAATAAGTAACTGTGGGTTGTGTGGGTTGACAGGAGAACTGTGAGTTACATGGGAGTTCTCTGTTTTCATCTTTGGTTTCTGAGACTGGGTCTCACTATGTAGTTCAGGCTGTCCTTGAACTTGCAGTGACCCTGCTGCCTCAGCCTCCCAAGTGCCATAGCTACTCTCTAAAAAGGGCTCCCTTGTTAGTCAATCTTGACTCAAGCTTTAGCGGAACTAATGGGACCTTAATAGGTCGTTGATGGAATAACAACATATGAAATTACTTACATCAGTATTTATTGACTTTGCCAGGCGTGGTGGCGCATACCTGTAATCCCAGCACTCTGGAGGCTAAAGAGGAAGGCCAGCCTGGGCTACATAGTGAGACCCTGTCTCAAAAAACAAATAAATAGAGGCTGGGGATTTAGCTCAGCGGCACAGCGCCTGCCTGGCAAGCAAAAGGTCGTGAGTTCGATTCCCGGTACCCGAGGGGAAAAAAAAAAAAAACAAATAAACAAAAAAACAACTGCCATGTAACTCGTACTTCTCCTATCAATCATGCCTGGCTTCATACAAATGTATTTAAAGTATCAAATAGTTTTACAATTTGGCAGGTAATAAAAACTGTATTATAGAGAAACAATTTACCTAAAAGAGCACACGTAAATTCTGTTGTAGTCCCTGGTGCATGGTTTAGCATGTGTACAGTGCTTGGAAATCACAGACTCACAAATGTGAGAGTTCACCATATTTTGGGATTTCGACAGTGATGCTTACAAAGTTTTGCACATTTCTCAAAACTGTGTTAATGACTTGGAGGTTATAAATCTCTTTAGCATGCTTCCTGACAGAGCTGGTATATTAAAATAAAAAGTAGAAATTTTTTAAAAATCAGAAAAAAATAAAATTAAAATAAATCACATCACAGCAGAGCCAGGTGTGGTGGCACACACCTGTAATCCCTGAGGACTTCTTTATTTATTTATTTGGGTTTTCGGAGACAGGGTCTGGCTGTGTAGCCCAGGCTGGCCTCAAATTCATGATGATCCTCCTACTTCAGCCTGCTAAGTGCTAGGATTATAAGTGTGTACCACTCAGGAGGCTGGAGCAGGAAAACTGCCAAGACTTGAGGCCAGGATGAGTCACATAGTGAGTTCAAAGCCAGCCTGGATCACATAGCAAGACCCAGTCCCCAAGTTTCAGGACAAAAAATAAACTAAGTCACAGCAAAAGAGGCTCATGAAGGTGGTCCATGATGAGAAAGCGGGATGGGAAGCAGGGCGACAGGAGCCAGCTGGCTGAGGGGCTCTGGTTCGCAGTCCCCCGCCAGCCCCCTCCAGCAGATCCAGTTGTGTCTCATCTTCCAGGGCGGGAACCTCACCCTCTCACAGCCCATGGAGCCTGGCTTCCTCCTCCTCCACATTCTCCAATTTCCTTCCCAACTATCCTAGGGGCCACAATTCCTGCTTATCTCTGACTCTTTCTTTTCTCTTCCTCCCCTCCTCTTCCCCACCTCCTCCTCCACTCCCTCACTCTCCCCTGCTTCCTTCTTCAGCAGTACTGAGGATTAAACCAAGCACTCTACCTCTGAGCTGAGATATATCCACAGCTTATATATACATATAT